CATAATCAATATTGATGGAGAATCATTGTTAGCAATAGACACGGACACCACAAATGTGCTTTAACAAGATTCTCAAATAAGTGTATTTTCAGGGCTAGTATGTATACACAGTTTGTCACGCAAGCAGCGAGATTTATCGCTTCCTTATGGTTAATAGTACATACTTGTCTGACATTAAAAAGATAAGCATTTGAATAAAGACGGGACAGGAACATCCTGGGGTCGAGCGAGGTCATACATCCTGTAGAAGGGAGGCCTCTCAGAGCATGTTACAGAATACATCTGCCAAGGTCAGCATAATTATTTCAAACATTATTTTAACGCATATAATGCAAAAAGAGTTAACTATTTCATATCCTTACATTCCCCTCTTTGAGCAAAACTTGCTCATATTATCGGTTAACATTCTCCCAGAACAGAGAAATTTCCACATTATGGCATTCCTACGCAATCATGTGGTCTACAAGAAACAGAAACTCAGCAGGAAAAAAGACACTTAATACTTTTGCAGACAGATATATAGAAAATGGATGTTTAAGACGAAATGGAACCTGGGCTTATAGCAAATATATTATTGCAAATAGATGACATGTTAACCAATTTTAAACAGACTAACTAGCCGGTCATCTGTATCATAGGCCCTGGGTAAATATGGGCAAAGTGTATTATTCCCAACAGTTGTTTTCCTCCTTCGTCCAGGGAAGTGGGCGCATATAGTCAAAGTGGGAATAATGAATATACTGGGTAGAATTATCTAACCCTGGAGAGTGGAGACAGTGGAAAGAAACAGGGATAGGAATAAGTTAAGAGTCTCTACTGGTAGAGACAAGCCCCCATAAAAGTTCTTAGAAATAAGTGAATAAAAATAGGTGTAAAAACCTACACGTACCAGGAGATCCCTAAACCAATAAAAGATGGAGTCTAATATTCATATAGATAGCTCTAAGAAATAAAGTGCAAAATAGAACCAGTACAATTGGAAGAATTTGAAATGACAGTAGCAAACATATAAAAAGGTGGAATACAATCTGAAAAACCGACACTAGATGTCAGCCAAGTGCTAAGTAGTCTCTCATAGAGGGGGAATGTTAACTAAACAATCAATGTTCAGAGGACATAAAATAGCAATAAAAAAAACAAATATGACTTAAATGGTCTGTGGCTAAAATGTAGATCTGCACAGTCTCATCTATTTTATAAAATACCACTCAATAGTACAAAACTTTGTAGAATGAATCCAGATTAATGGTATAACGGTAAAAGTCAGTAACTGATGTTTTGGATACCAAAGTTTGTTTGATGTAGAAAATGAACCTGATGTGGAATAATTTCACTGTCACAGTCAACACACTATGTAGCTATCCATTAAAAAAGATAGTAACATTCATGTATCAGACTGCAGATACAGTATAACCAGTGTTGGTAAAATAAAATAAGATGGAAACAAAGTATATCAAAATGTTGCATAAAAGATAATATTACTCACATACCACTATAGCAGGTAAATGGTAATAATGGTTGCGTCAAGATACATGCTAAAAAAGATAGAGAGGTAGCAGTGCTTTTCAATTAAAAGCTTCAAATTTATTCATCAAAATTAAAAATTTAAATCCACTCACGAACATGAAGTGTAATAAAGCAGCAAAAGAGTCCTGGGGGTCTGCAAGAGCAGGTAGTGTTGGAAATATATTGTGGAAGATCCTAACCCCGGCCGGAGAGATGGAATCCTCCTCACGTGTGTTCCACTTAGTGCGTCCGCTCTGCGTTCCACGGTTGCTCGGTAGCTGCAGTTGTTTCAGTATACGGCTGTATGCCTGAATGCCTTACGCGTTTCGTGACGATTCAAAGTCACTTCCTCAGAGGCTGATGGATTAGCACTGCTCCTTCTGCTCTTAATATAGTGATGGCTAACTGACCAAATAATTGGCAGTTAGAAAGTCCATTACATAAAGTTTACTCCAATCAAAACTTTAAAGCATAAATAAAATAAAATAAAATAAAATAAAATTCACTCAGCTAATACAAAATTTGCAGTATAGCTACGGATGATCGCTTAAAAACCGGGAATAATACCTATTCCCTGTCCAAGGACCGGGGTCTTGGATTACCAGTCCACCCGATAATCTGGGGCCAGGCAAAAACCCCAGTGGCAAAAACTCATATTTGAAGAAAAAGCACATCTGGGGAAAACCTGAGTGGGGGCCGCGATCGTGTTAGACATATCATCCCCTCACAGTTGACACCACTTGTGACTTATAATACCCGCACCTGTGAGTACATAGCTCGGGTAGCGGGAGGAATTGGGAAACACTTCTTACATATTAATTCATGAGATAAATTATAATCTAGCTTGAAATTCTGACAATAATCACAACCAGGACCTTGCGTCCTATATCTTTTAACCATTTCCCTATTCCAAAGGTCCAGTCAAAACCAGTCATATCCTCACGCAGTTCCACAAAACATGGGAATCCATCCTTGGCACACTCAACATATATCAAACACACACATAGTACATCCATCCCTGGGTCAACTAACAATTCCTCTCTCCGGCTAACTCCACAAAAATAAAAATAGTTCAATAGTTCAGCATAGTTCAGAAAAATACAATAAGTCTTTCACAGAGTATAAAGAAATCCGTTTAGACACCAGACATTTTCTTTCATAAAATGTCTAAGGGTAGCAATATGGCTGACAACAAGACAATGTCAGCTTCCACATAGTTCTTCTTTTGTTTGCTAGATTTTCACCACAATGCTCTGTGCAACACCCCAATGGTTGAAAGGGTTATTACAGAACCAGCGGTATTAGACAGCACTGCACCTTCAGGACTTTCCAGGTTCTTGCGTGCAAAGTTTATGTCCTCATAAGTAAGTATATCAGTTTCTTTGGCCTGCATGGATTATGACCAAACAGATGTAATTGCTAAATACTTATTGCATGGTCAGCCAGAGAGATTGGTGTGTAGTCCCAGAAATCAGGCGGCACAAACACTCCAGGACGGTCTGTACAATCATACAAACACAAGGATCAATACAACATCAATGAATTAATTACCTAGGCTAAAACTTAAATTAGAGATTAAGGTTAAACCCTTAATTTGTGTAACATGTACTTCTCTTATATTTGCTTATATTTTATGCAATCTGTCTTCTAAGTTTTACATAATACCCCTTTGGAATGCCTTTGTACGGATGAGAGAAGCACTCACTCTATAGAAATGCTTGTTAGGATGAATATTAAAACACTAACATATACATATGGGGATAATTCCCAATAAAACTCTGTTTCTAAACTTGAACCTTGATTTGATACTCAAAATGAATTACTTTAATAATCCCAAATAATTCAATACTCTTGGATTAACACCTAAAACTATATAAAATATAAAAAACATGAACCATCTGTGTATTAGGCTGGGGTTGTTGGGTGTTGGTATAGGTTGGAAGCTGAATCTGTGGGGGTGGGTTTGGGCACTCATTTTTCCAGTGACCCTGCTATCCACAATTAGAACAGTGTGTTCCACCAATGCTGAAGTTGCTACCTCTACAAAAGTTAGACCCTTTGACCAAATCCTCTACCTCTGCCTTTAAAACTTTTCTGATTCAATCTCCTATCACCTTCCAAATTTCTTTGTCTCACCTGTTTATTATCACAATCCTTGTGGCCGATACAACATACCTTTTCCTTCTTTCTTTCTATCAAAACAACTTGCTGTATCTTTCTCATGAATCTTCCCAAGAAATTAATTTGGGGTCAAAAAGGGCCAGTCACAGACCAACAAGGAACAAAAGTGAACAAGGAGGAAGCATATTCCATATGCAGGTCGGGATTACCTAACTCACACCCCCTCTTTGTGTACCCCTCTTTGTGTACCACACAGATATAATATTAATAAGCTTTTAAAGGTTTAATGTATAGTTAAATTGTGTATAAAAAGCAAGGTTGTCTAGGGGTATATACATCGACAATGAAAGCATAGACTTCATTTAGGGCTTGCAATACTGACACTTAAAGGAGGAGACTATATTTAAAAGAAGGAAAACTACCACAACAAGAGAACATAGTCTTAAATTAGAGGGACAAAGGTTTAAAAATAATATCAGGAAGTATTACTTTACTGAGAGGGTAGTGGATGCATGGAATAGCTTCCAGCTGAAGTGGTAGAGGTTAACACAGTAAAGGAGTTTAAGCATGCGTGGGATAGGCATAAGGCTATCCTAACTATAAGATAAGGCTAGGGACTAATGAAAGTATTTAGAAAATTGGGCAGACTAGATGGGCCGAATGGTTGTTATCTGCCGTCACATTCTATGTTTCTATGTTTCTATGTTTCTATGACAGTCTGTGTCATGAGCGTAATGCAGACATGCGGTTAGGTACTTTTCCATTGTTATAATATATTGAAAACACTAAGACTTTGCAAATTTTTAAAACGCATATTGCATCCTGTACCTGGTGCTGTGCAAGTATGTAGTTGGGACATATTTCAAATTGAGTATCAAAAGTCTATCCACAAAACTAAATGTTATACGCTTATCAAGAAAACAAGTTTAACCCGTTAGTGCGTACTTTGGATAGCCTCTTTGCATAATTTGGCTCCAAGTGAGATTATTATATTATTTATTAATCCTCTTCTGGGTCTGCAAATTGCTTTCAATTTACCCATACAAATATAATACAGTAGTTTAGGAGATTAAGATTACCTCACTTATAAATTTCAGAAATTGTCTAATCTGTATTAAAAATACCATTTTATTATTACCCCATAATCAATGAGGCATACTAGATGAATCTTACTTTGACACAAACAATGCAATATACTTTAAAAGTAGAGTTAACTCTGAGCTGGACAATACTCCCCTATTAGAACTCCTTTATGAGGGAGAGACATCTTGTCCATTCAATCCTTTTTATCAGTAAAATAATGACTTTCAGGATTAATCAATTTACAAATGGAAACGTGGATCCACGATTTGAACAGCAGAAGTTTGCGGGGCCCCTTTCACGTGGGACGTAACAAGCGCTTTTCTTGCTCCAGGAGCGATAGCATACAATTGTTTCATTCTAGCCGGCTGGACAGCATTTCACCTTTTGTAAAAACACTAAATGCTTGCGTTAATGATATGCAAATCACTCCGCTAGTTAAACTCCTACACAATGGACAATAAAATACATAAAACACATAACACACCAATTCATTTCAAACCATATAACTTATACTCAGCATCCAATGTAATATTACACGTCATCTCACAAAACAGACGTAGTAGAAACACATAGTGGATACCCAGCAGATATGCCAATACAGAAAACACATTCATGGCCACACAACTACACACTCTGTGTCCCTCCTAGGAAACACGGGTAGACACAATATGAAAGCAGTCTTAAACTAACACCTCAAAATCTCCATTCCCATATAGCTATATTAGACCACAACACAGAGCCTCTTTGAGCTGATAGAACTACTCCAACTCCAACTACTCTTGGCCAAAACGCTAGTATTCAACAGCTAATAAAACAGTTATTTGATAGGTTATTTGGCTGGCATTTTTATCAGTATTACTAGACTGAGACAAACTGATTCAAATATAATTTAAAACAACACAGCAACATATAAATCAAACCACTTTCCAGTTAAGCTGCACACGTCACACATTATCACAATCACCATTTACACAGAATAAACAGTTAACAGCTGTACTTAGAACATATTATTGTAAGGTATACCAATTTTAGTTTGTATTAGATTTATTTTAGGGATTCTTATGTATACGTGTTTTTTTTCTTAATTAACTTCATTACTTTAATCTACTATAGTATTGTATATAAAGAAAGGATCCATTTATATAGCGTGCTCATAACTCAAATATTTGTATGAAACTTCCATGAACTAATCTGAGATGATGCTGCATCAACTTAAATCTTATAGAAATTGAGCAAACATCTGGACCAGATTACACAGACATGGTTTCACCCGAATCTTTCAGAACTCTCAGAGACTTTAAAAAAAAAAAAAATTATACTATGCCATGTTAAAAGGCATGGCAAACCTTAGACCGGTCAGTCTCCAAGAGTCTTAGTAACACAGGTAGAAACCTTTGTCCATGATCTCTGATCCAGGCTATATACCACAATTTAAAAGAACACATATAATGTGAGACATAGAAGACACAAAACATATGCAGTAGGTGTTGCACTGGATCATTTAAAGCATCTGTAGCAATAAAAAAGGTTAGCTTAAAGCACAAAATGAAGCATGTGTTGGACCGCTGGAAATGTAAATGTTGCTCTCTTATTTTCAAACAAAAATCATATTTACAGTATGGATCCTTTGCAACAAACACACAGGGCAGGGAAGATGTGCTGCTTGGTGTACTATACAATTAATGCCATACGGGGAATTAACTTTCAAATACTAATGAAGTGACTTTTTGTCTCAGTACAAAAATACTGAGCTCATCATGCAAACAATGTAACACATTTACACTATCCCACTCTCATAAAAAGTGTAGTGGGCTTATGGTATTAAAGTAACAATCATACCAGGCACACAGATCCCATGTGAAATAACTTACAATAAAACAGAGTAATAAACTTATACTTCTATGCGACAGAAAGAATAAAGCAGAAGATTTAAGTAGGTCTATCAGGTACAACCTGCGAGTCAGTTCTTTTCTAATATACAGTACTGGTATCTTATATATATATGTATATATGTTGGTCACTCAGGACCTGAACTCACATTTCCCATACTGCTGACTCAGGGCGGACACACTATTAACTTACCAAAGTGTGTCCCCAATATAGACAATCACCCACAAAGAACACTTAAGACAAAGGTGACCAGGAGAAAGAGAAGTTTGGGTTATACTTATAGATCTATAAACTGTGCTCCTCAGAACACCTATAGTCTTAATAAACCGGAGACCTCTTATGGTCTCAAAACCTGTATCTACCTGAGATACCCTGTATCTATCTTAGATACTAACCAGGGTTACCAAAACCCTATAATAAACCAGAGACCTCTTATGGTCTCAAAAACCTGTATCTACTTGAGATACCCTGTATCTATCTTAGATATTAACCTGTTACCAAGAACCCTATACTAGACCAACTGTCTAGTAAAAACCGGAGACCTATTTACAGTCTCAATATAACTAAAGTCCTTACACCTTTTCTATCTATCAAAGGGGGTCATAGACAATTAGCATCAATAAGACACAAAAAGGCTACTTACCCAATGGCTTTGCTGATCCCACTTCTGTCACCAAGCTGAAAGGGTTAATGCTGTTCTGGACTCAACTCCCCTCGATTCTCGATTCTCTGGTCACCATAATCAATATTGATGGAGAATCATTGTTAGCAATAAAGACACGGACACCACAAATGTGCTTTAACAAGATTCTCAAATGAGTGTATTTTCAGGGCTTGTTTGTCACGCAAGCAGAAAGATTTATCGCTTCCTTATAGTTAATAGTACATACTTGTCTGACATTAAAAAGATAAGCATTTGAATAAAAACATCCTGAGGTCGAGCGAGGTCATACATCCTGTAGAAGGGAGGCCTCTCAGAGCATGTTACAGAATACATCTGCCAAGTTCAGCTTAATTATTTCAAACATTATTTTAAAGCATATAATGCAAAAATAGTTAACTATTTCATATCCTTACAGTCTGGTGGTAGAATTAGTGCATGGAAAGTGTTAAAATACCACCATTTGAAGTACCCTGGAGTGCCTACATTTAAAAAATATATGGTTTGATGGGGTAAATTACATTGGCTGACTTCACAAATGTCCCAAAAAGGACATGGGTGCATGATGACTAACTGTGAAAATTCCAAGTTGGAAAACTGGAATGCGCACCCTCCAAATAAGGTCTTTTAGTCCCCAGAGAACCCGACCCACCTATACATGAAGGGTATCACTGTACTCACTGTAGGAGATGACATTAAATATATAATTTTTACCTGATCCCTGACTTAGTAAGTTCCTGTGCCTGCTGAGTATCCGTCCTGACCCAGTGTGGAGAGAGGACTACAGTAGCCCGTTTGAGGGCCTTGAGGCGCTTCTTGAATTTACATCTTGTGAGTGCTACCAATAACTGCCATGCTACACATTTGTGCAAGTGCTGCGCACGCATTCAAAGTGTCCACAGGAAAGCATTTCTCAATGCTTTCCTATGGACGCTCTGCGCAATGGAGGCGTCGCAGATGTGCCTCTAGTGGCTGTCCGGAAGACAGCCACTAGAGGCTGGATTAACCCCAAATGTAAACATAGCAGTTTCTCTGAAACTGCTATGTTTGCATCTGAAGGGTTAAAACCTGAGGGACCTGGCCCAGACCACTTCATTGAGCTGAAGTGGTCTGGGTGACTATAGTGTCCCTTTAATAAAATCAGGTTTAATTTCTGCTTAATACTGTTTTTTGTATGTTTTAAAGGAACAGTTCCTCGAACCAAAAAAAGTGTTACTCCAACGTCCATGACCACGTTTTCTTTTTGAAGTGGTCATGGAGGAAGAGCACTGGATGTGTGGTATCCCACTCAGGGCTGGATTAACATAGGGGCTGATGGAGCTGCAGCTCCAGGCCCAGGCCCAGGCCCATAAAATAGGCCCATTTAAAAAAAATATATATATATAAAAAAAAAGGTTTCTTTTTTTTTTTTACACACTACTCTGAGGTTTGCCACCTGACTGGTATTTTACTGGCACAGCCGGTACTTGAGGCTGCCTGGCTGTGACGGTATTGCAGTAATACCGGCAATACAAATGCAAATATTCTCAGTATAAACGGAGATTACTCTGCAATACCAGCACTGGTCACCGTGTGTGTGGAGAGAGGCAGGTATAGGAAGTTACAGCATATCCCTCCCTGCCTCTCTACTACTCACTGATCCGTGAGGGAGCAGCTACACAGCGCAGAGAGTTCAGACAGCAGCTCTACAGCTCAGGTAAGCGAGGGATGGGGGGGAAAGGCAGCAGGGAGACATAGGGACACAGATACTAGGGGACACAGACACTAGGCGACACTGATATACTTGGGGACACTGGAAAACATAGGGACACTGTGACACATGAGGACGCTGAGACACATGGGGACGCTGTGAGACATAGGGACACGGAGACACTGTCCTATGTCTCCCAGTGTCCCCATGTCCCCCAGCCAATGTCCCTAGTGGCTGAGTGTCCACATGGCTCCCAGTTTCCCCATGTCTCCCAGCCAGTGTCCTCAGTGTCCCCAAGTCTCCCAGTATCTGTGTCCCTATGTCTCCCAGTGTCCCCAAATGTCTGTGTCCCCATGTCTCCAAGTGTCTGTCTTACAGCCAGTGTCCTTTGTCTCCCAGTGTGCCCTAGTCTCCCAGTGTCCCCTAATCTTCCAGTGTCTGTGTTCCCATGTCTCTTAGTGTCCCTAGTGTCCCCAAATGTTTCAGTGTCCCCATGTCTCCCAGTGTCCCCAAATGTCAGTGTCCCCATGTCTCCCAGTGTCTCCATGTCTCCCAGTGTCCCCATGTTTCCTAGTGTTCCCATGTCTATATTCACAAGTGCCCCCATGTCTCCCAGTGTCCCCAAGTGTCTGTGCCCCCATGTCTCCCAGTGTTCCCGGGTCTCTGTGTCCCCATGTCTCACTGTGTCCCCTAGAATCCTAGTGACATGGGGACACACTGAGAAATGGGGACACTGGGAGACTAGGGGACTTGGAGATATGGGGACACTGACACTGTGATACATGGGGACACACTGAGACATGGGGACACTGGGAGACAGGGAGAAACTGGGAGCAATTCATCTATACAGCAGAATCAAACTGTGAGTAGTTTGTTGGTGATTTTACAGAATTTTCTCTTATGTCACTCCTTATGATTTACATCATGTGATGTCACTCATAACTAATTAATTATAAAAGGCTGGTATTTTTTTCCAAGAAAGCTGGCAACCCTAACTACTCTTCACATACTCTTGCTTAAAGGAACACTATATGATCAGGAAAACAATCATGTATTTCTGACCTTATTATGTTAAAACCACCTTCTAGCCCCCCTGGCTCTCTCTTGCCTCCCCAAATATAGTACTTATAAGTCTGCAGCTGCTGGCTCTGCCTCTGAACTGACTCTCTCTGCTGACATAATCAGAAGTGGTGGTCTGAGCAAATTACAATGCTTCCCCATAGGAATGGCTGAGACTGTTAACTAGGCAGATCAGGGGCAGAGCCAGCACACTCAAACATAGCCCTGGC